ATAATATTTAATGAACATACATTATATTAACAACATTACAACATGAATCCCTTTAAGGACAAAAGCTAAAACCAAAAAAGCTTCTTGAATACTCTGACATTTTATGAGCGTGAATCATTATAGCTTATGAGTTTATCTTCAGTTACTTAAAAAAAAAAATTATAGAAGTTTTCCCACACCTTTTATCTATAGCACAAACCAGAGTGCTCTCTCATGTCTAGAAACCACAGCACTTATGGATATTTACAGAACAGGAAAGGAAAAAAAATGGAAGGTTATCTGTGTCAGATTGACTCTGCAGCAGGCCATAGAGGTTAGTCAACCCGCTGCTCAAAATACTGTCTGCGCCTGGAAATTCCTCTGATTAAAAATGTTTTCATTACTGCTATCCCTGCTAGAACAGAACCAGTGTTTGTAACACAGCTGTCTTTTCTGAGTATGTTGACCAACTTCTACAGACCACCTCTAACGCAAAAGCAAGTTACAGCTACTGCATATGCACTTAGATCTATTAGATTTATGCAAACAAAAGAAACTGAATTTTTACTAACTAGTATTTCTTCATTCTGAAGGAAGGATATTAATATTTCTGGTCTTTTTACCACTGATAAGAAGTTTAAAGGGGAAAATATACGTTTATAATCTGTAAGTCATTTTTCCTCATAACTAAACCCATAATTTATGTGATATTAACTGCTTGAAAAATTATGTTAGTAAAGGCAAAAAATATGAGAGTGTCCTGTGCTGCTTTTTTAGAAAAGCTTCACTGCTACGTGATAAAACCTTCCCATCAACTCAAACAAAAAGATGACACATGCAAGACAGGCTAAAAACAGTCTTTAATATTGGAGACCACATTAATAGAAGAATAAGTCCAGAATTAACCACAGCAGGAAGCAGTGGGAGTTTTGCACTATAAGCTGAATTAACTCATACATCATCATGATTAGTTCTGCATGTACAGAAAATAATGCTTTGACAGGAATTTCATTCATTCAGCAATGATATTTTGCTTGCCCATGCACCACTTCTTTCCTCGCTTGCAGCTAAATCAAATTGACAACTGCACAGCAATAAAGCATTTTTCTCTTTAAGTCACTAAATAAACATTAATAAAACCTCAAATCTCTTTCAAGACAAGGATTCCTTGTCTACTTTGCATATGGAGAAAATATATGCACAGAGATTAATGGTTATCTCTTTCAGAAATATTGAACGCCCCACGTTTTGACAGAAAGTGCAGATGCTTATGACATATAAATAAATGACTGTATGATCCCAAACCAATTACATATTTAAATTGAGTGATTTTAAATTCACTTACAAATATGCCTATATTCAGAAATATGCTCAAGTCTTTTGCTGAATCCACATAATCTTGCTCAAGGCGGCAGAGGAAGTCAACAGCAGAGAGACTACAGTCAAGAGTTTACTTCTGTGGTTAGACTGCCAGTGAAACTGTGACTACAGAAAAGGTGGAGAGAAAAAATTTAATTCTACTTTTTATTTATACAGAAAGTTTGTAACAAATATTTAGCACCTCTCCTCTCTGGTGTTCACAAGTTGAGAGAGCATAACAGAACAGTGTAATGCTTTTGAAAAACAGGACAAGGATATTGCCTTGGCACAGCTTTTATATTGGTGTGTCAGGCAGGTGGGGGGTTGGTTTTGTTTTTTTTTTAAACCAGGCACTGTACAGGGTTGCCAACCTAACTGTGGACTGAGTTACAAGTGTCGTAACATCTAGGAATTAAGTATGTCACTACAAGCACTTTCAGAGGAACATAGCAACATCAGTTAGATAGGAAAAAAAGAATTAGTCTTTAATATATTACAAACCGGTTTGAATTTTTTCAGTTACAAGTGTCTCAGCTATAAATCTGTGGCTACATCAGGTGAGCACATCCTCAAAAGGCAACAATGCCTCTTTAAAGCCTTCTGCCTTCAAAATCTTATCTCCTTTTACCTTAGTAGTTTAAAACTTAAGTAAAAATTTCAAATGTCAGCTCTTCTTCCCAGAGCTTGTGTGATTCTCAACTTCCAAGTAAAAAACAAAGGGAGCGACTCAGAGCTTGTGTGATTCTCCCCTTCCAAGTAAGAAACAAAGGGAGCGACTTCGGGCTTTCCTGGCTTCTGTTGTTGTTGCTACACTTGGGATCCATACACTGCAAATACACATTTGTTTAAAAAAACGCTTAATTTTTGTTTTGTTTTGGGTTTTTGTCTTTAACATTGCAAAGATCACCTCCGCCGCATTTTAGCAAAAGCCGTTTTTACCGAATTGCGGCAACTTTCCGCAAAGAGGAGCGGGGACGCCTCTCACGCCGCTTGCCAGGCTCCACTTCCCGGCGGGTGGCACAAAGGGCCGGGA